CTTCCTCCTCCTCCTCCTCGTCCTCCTCCTCCTCCTCCTCGTCCTCCTCCTCCTCCTCGTCCATCTCCTCCTCCGCGCCCTGCAACGATATCCCTGCATTCGCGGTTGACGAGTTGCGCACGGGCATCAAGAGCTTGAAAGGTGGCAAATGCTTCGATGTCCACGGTGTTCTTGCAGAGGTGATAAAGCGCGGAGGGGAAGCAGCGGAGAAAGTGTTGCTGCAGCTTTTCAACGCAATCGTATCAGGAGACAAACCGCCACCAAGGGTTTGGAAGGAATATGTTGTCAGCGTGATGTTTCAAAAGCGGTGTTCCGTCCCTGGCCTAAAATTACATGCCAATCACGATTATACCGTTATAGTACAAACTCTTCGCAAACATCTGATATGCTAGACTTGATCCTGTTCTCGACCGGCACTAAAGTATCGATCAGGCGGGTTTCCGGCATAATGTCAGCACGACACATCATATTTTCGCTGTCGCGCTGCTCCAGGAGAAGTGCCACGAATGGCAGCAGAATCTGCGGGGGGCCGCAATTGATTTCAAGAAAGTTTTCGACTGCGTGGGGCACGAAGGTCTATGGCAAGCGCTGTCCAAGCAGGGAGCTCTTGGAGAATACGTACGCTTGCTGCGGACGTTGTATACCGATCAGACGGCCTGGGCTCGCACGGATAAGTTGAGTAAGCCGTGCCACATTTTGCGTGGGACGAAGCAGGGCGACCCCCTCAGCACACTCTTGTTCAATGCTGTTTTAGAAGACGTGTTCCAGGACGTAAAGGATGCGTGGGTGAAAAAAAAGTGGGGCTTGCCGCTGGGAGCGACGCCTGAATGGAAGCTGATAAATTTACGGTTTGCGGACGATGTGAGGTTTATCTCTACCACCCTTCGCCAAATCAAACGGATGCTGTCAGATTTGCGTTCGGCGGCATTATGGCGCGGGCTGGAAATCCACCCGGAGAAGACAAACATCCTCAGCAACACGACTCGGGGAAGTGGCCGGCCGAAGCCCGCATCTGTTCAAATTGGGGGCATGGCAACAAATATGGTGATTCATGAGAGTTCAGTGAAGTATTTGGGGAGGCAGGTCTGCTTCGACCGCCCGCACGACGTTGAGATTGACCATCGAATCGAAGCGTTTTATGAGTCAACGGGCTGAGCTGACAAACAAAAGGTACTCTCTGAATTCAGGGCTCCGCCTCTTCGACAGCACGATATCTGCAACGCTGCTGCACGGAAGCGCGGCCTGGGTGCTCACAAAAGAATTGGAACATAAGTTGAAACGGACGCAGCGCAAAATGATCAGGATGAGTATCGGCAGCCAACGGCGCGTGCAGAAGCATGCTCTGCCACAGAACCCAGTGACCAAGCATGATTGTATTTCTCGTTATTCTTCGTCGATTTCTTTGCGGTCCTTTACAAAGGCCGGGGGAACTGTCCCGGACGAGCCAGATAACGAGCTGGAGCCCTGGGTTGACTGGATCAAGCGTGTGACACGAGAAGCAGATGATCGAGCACAGCAGCTTCACTTACATGACTGGGTCGATTCACGCGGGGATGTTGCAAAGGCGTGGCTCCGCCGCATGCGCGGGGACGAACAATCCTGGGCGCGCCGCATATACATTGACGTGAGAGCCCGTGGACCTGGTCAGGCGCCCAAACGGGCCCCGGAAGCGCTGGTTGGACACGCGCACTTGCGGGGCTGAGGCCCCGCGCGCCTCCCTTCACGGGACGGCCTCCGGGCCGAAGGTGCGCGCGTCGCTTCGCTTCGCTTCGCTTCGCTTCGCTTCGCTTCTCCTCCTCCTCCTCCTCCTCCTCCTCCTCCTCCTCCTCCTTCCTCCTCCTCCTCCTCCTCCTCCTCCTTCTCCTCCTTCTCCTCCTCCTCCTCCTCCTCCTCCTTCTCCTCCTCCTCCTCATCCTCTCAAGCACAGGTGGGGGGGGGCGCGTGGTACCATCTTTTGGCTCTTTCGTGCTCCGCTAGCCTAGCCCCCCGCCCTCACGTCGGCGCTTGAGGGGCACCAGGGCGTCTGGGCCGCGTTTCGTCCAGCCCCTCCTGGTGACGAAGGGGAGCGAATTCAAGGTTGTCGTTCAGGTGTTTGGTCGGGCCGTGTTCAGCTTGTACCCTGTCCTGCACCTATACTTCGAGGTTTTTCTGGAGGGCTCATTTCATCAGCTCTGGTTTCGCCATCTCCCATCTCCGGCAGGGGAGGGTCTGTCAAACTGGCCTTTGGTGATTGGGGCTCTCCTTTGCGGCCCGTCGGCGCTTCGTGATTTACTGTGTGGCCATGGGTCCGCTATTCTATGTTTGTCCTTTGCGCAGTGTCGGGCGCGGGACAGTTATTGCATTATGGTCCCCTGCCGTGGAGCGAGGCTGTCTGTGGAGTGGGCGATCCGCTTAGTTGCCGGGTTGCACGTTGATCGTTATGCGCCAGTGCCTTATAGAGCACACTTCACTTCAGCTTAGTATAGTTCGGTGGTCAGCGTGTTGTGTTTTTGTTCAGTCCGGCTTGCGCTCAGGTGCTGGTGTTTCCGCTCTTGGCGTTTTGGCTTGGAAGGAGTGAGCACTGTTTGGTGGAGGGACTCAATGTCGGTATTGCACCACATACTTCTTCGGCTTCCCCACGGGCGGGCTCCTGACCCTCCTGTTTTTCTTCGCCGCGTTGCTGTTCGACGTCAGGGGTGGCAGGTAGATCCTATCGAAATCACTTTTGTTATTGCGGAGATCCTGGAGATCCTCCTCCTCCTCCTCCTCCTCCTGCTCCTCCTCCCCCTCCCCCTGCTCCTCCTCCTCCTCCTCCTCCTCCTCCTCCTCCTCCTCCTCCTCCTCCTCCTTCCTCCTCCTCCTCCTCCTCCTCCTCCTCCCCCTCCTCCTCCTCCTCCTCCTCCTCCTCCTCCTCCTCCTCCTCCTCCTCCTCCTCCTCCTCCTCCTCCCCCTCCTCCTCCCCACCCATCCCCCTCCAGTCGCCCAAACCGGGACTGGATTTCAGATGGGCGGATTGTGGCGCACGCAACGGGTTCCCCCGCGAGCGTGGCTCAGCTAGAACGCCAGGGCCCCTGAAAAGCCAGAGCGTTGCTGAGCTCACTGGGCTTAGGATGTTTATAAGATTGGCTGATCTGGGCTTGCGCTGAGCCTGGTTAGTCCACGCAGGATCGGACAGGATCATTCCGCACTGTCGAAGCAGCGGCGGTGCGGTGCGATCTGGAGGCCGATGTCCTCTTTCCCAACGTCGCCGATGCATTGCCGGTGCGTCGGCGGCGCGGTGCGATCCTGTGCCCCCGCCTGCTCCAGACCGGGTTTGGCGACCTCCACGAGGGAAAGGAGGCCAAGAAGAAGGCCAAGCCGAAGGCCAAGCCGAAAGCCAAAGCGAAGGCCAAGACCGAGAAGGGCCCTAAGCCGGACGTGGAGTGGAACGAGGAGTTCTTGTTCACGGGCGTCACGAACCCGGGCCTGTGTACCCTCTCGGTGAACGTCCTGGACGCGGAGGGCGACCAGAGCAAGCGCCTCGGCGAGACCACCTTGCCCTTGGGGATTCTCGGCGCCAGGGCCGGCATGCAGGACTTCGAGGAGGAGATCGCTGGCTTTTTCTACAAGACGAAGGTGAAGTTCCAGATCGACAACTTCGGTTCGTGGGGCAACGGCAAGCCGGAGGAGAACAAACTGTACGTGATGATCAAGGGCGCAGTCGGCCTCCCGACCCACGTGGGCTCGTTCATCAGGAGCGGCGGCGGGCCCGGGGTGCTCAGAAGGCAGCTCTTGCGCCTTTGAGAAGTGCCGAGCGCCTTCTCCGCATCCACAGGCGGCTGCTCAGAAGGCGCGAGGGCTTCTGGGAAGCCCCCACGTCTCTGAGAAGGCCCACCCCCCCTCACTTCCCCGCCCCCTGGCGCGCCGCCGACAGGAGCAAGGAGACCGACCCCTACCTCCAGCTCGACCTGAAAGGCCCCGACGGGGACGTGCTGCAGTCGAAGAGCACGAAGGGCGACCCGAAGGGCTCCGACCCCCAGTGGGACGAGGAGCTCGTCTTCGAGAACATCGCTAATCCTGCGGCCTGCACTCTGTATCCAGCTGCGCCTGCGCGCGAGTCCTTCCCCTCCTCGTTCTCCTCCTCCTGCTCCTCTTCCTCCTGTTCCTCCTCCTCCTCCTGCTCCTCCTCTTCTTCCTCCTCGTCATCATCATCATCCCTCCTCTCTCCCCCTGCTCCCCCACAAGTACACAACATGAATACAATGTTCTCTCTCCCCCGAATATGTGCAGAGAATGTCTTGAGAGAAGCCGCCCCCCCTCCGCGCACTGGTTGTTCATTCACATGTTTTGCGCCGAAGAGCTTTTCTCAAATGCTTTCTGATTCGATCGGTTGGGCTCCTTCCAGAATGTTGTTCTCGCTGCAGCGCGGGCCTCATTTTCGGATCGGCCCTGTGCTCCCGTCGTTCAGAATGGCGCTGCCGCCCAAGCATAGACAATGTTTCTAGATCCGACAGGTCTCGCAGGTCCCACAGGTCTCGCAGGCCTCGCAGGCCCCACAGGTCCCACACGTCCCACGGGACCGAAAAGTGTCGCAGATCGTTCCACGGGTACCACTGGTCTGACAGGTTCCACTGGTCCCACAGGTCCCGCAGGTCTCATGGGTCCCAGAGGTGTCGCGTGTCTCGCGGGTCCCACAGAAGTCCCCCGAGTCCCAGATGTCCTGCAGGTCCCGCCGCTGCCACGGGTCCCGCGGGTCTCGCAGGTCTCATAGGTCCCACCGGTCCCACAGGTTCCACTGGTCCCACAGGTGTCGCAGGTCTCACAGGCCCGGCAGGCCACAGAGGTCCCCTTAGGCAGGTCCCACAAAGTTTCCTTTTTCCGACTGCGCGTAACACGATGCTGTTTTTTGTTCTAAGCCGCTCGAGGCGCAAAGTTCTTATGCCCCAGCGCCTTACTTTGCTTTGGGGCATAAGAACTGATATGGCTGCTGATGTTCCCTCCGTCGCCATCCCCTTTCCGTCGTCGTCGGTCGTCGTCGTCGTCGTCGGTCGTCGTCGTCGTCGTCGCCGTCGTCGGGCGTCGTCGCCAATTAATTTCTCGCCCGCGGATCGGCCAAAAAATGGCTGGTATTTCAAGGCACCTTTTGGGGGCGAAAAGGTGGCTTGAAATACATGGGTGTTTTTTCCAAAAGGGGTGTGAAAGCGAAAGCAATAAGCGAATTTGGAATATGTCGGCCGTCGCGGGCCCCAAACAGCAAGTTGCTGCACCATGGAGGTGCAACCTATGTGGTATATGCTATGTTGTTTGAGCTACGCGGTGGAATCTATGTGGTATAGGATGTATTATGCAAGCTATGCGGTGTGAGTCGTCGTCGCCGTCGTCGTCGTCGTCGTCGTCGTCGTCGTCGCCGTCGCCGTCGTCGTCGTCGCCCATTACGGAACGGCCAAAAAAATAGCTGGTATTTCAAGCTACCTTTTGGGGGCGAAAAGGTGGCTTGAAATACATGGGTGGTCGTCCCCGGCGCTGCCTCCCTGGATCTCCCCTAAACCACTCTCGCCCAGATCCTAAGCTAAAGCTTCAGCACTGGGCTCAAACCAGACCAGCCAGACCAGCCAGACTGCAATGCAAAAAAAACTGCAATGCAAAAAAAACCGCAATGCAAAAAAAACGCTTTTCGGTGGTCGTCCCCGGCGCTGCCTCCCTGGACCTCCCCTAAACCACACTCGCCCAGATCCTAACCTAAAGCTTCAGCACTGGGCTCAAACCAGACCAGCCAGACCATCCAGACTGCAATGCAAAAAAAACTGCAATGCAAAAAAAAACTGCAATGCAAAAAACTGCTTTTCGGTGGTCGTCCCCGGCGCTGCCTCCCTGGACCTCCCCTAAACCACTCTCGCCCAGATCCTAACCTAAAGCTTCAGCACTGGGCTCAAACCAGACCAGCCAGACCAGCCAAACCAGCCAGACCAGCCAGACCAGATGCAACTCCGACCAAATGCAGCTCCGAGCAACTTGTTCTTTGAAAGCTTGGCGTCCCGCCGTGCGCTACACGGCTAAGAACTTTATCAGTGCTGACGCACCCACCCACCCAGTCCCAGCTCGGACGGAACATCGCCTCCGAGACCACGAGACCCGAACGCACCCACAAGAGGCCTCAGACCGACAACCAAGGCACGGCGGCGGGATGGGCCGAAGGCCAGTAGGATCCGCCACCCCCTGTTGCTTGCAACAGGTTGTGCCGGCGCGCCAAACTTGTTTGGAGTTTTGGTTTTGGTTCTTTGTCCAAAAGAACTTTCGTCGGCGACGGCGACGGCGACGGCGACGGCGACGGCGACGACGACGACGACGACGACGACGACGACGACGACGACGACGACGACGACGACGACGACGACGGCAACGGCAACGACGACGACGACGACGACGGCGGCGACGGCAACGGCAACGACGACGACGACGACGACGAGGACGACGGCGGCTGCCAGAGGACCCCGGCAAAACCAGCCAAAGAGAGATCCGAAGCTCAGAATCCACAGAGCTCCCCCCAAGTCTGCCTGGGTGCCCGCTGCCCCGGGGGACCCCGGCAAAACCAGCCAAAAGGACCCGCATCGAGATCAGCGACGGCGACGGCGACGGCGACGGCGACGGCGACGGCGACGGCGACGACGACGACGACGACGACGACGACGACGACGACGACGACGGCAACGGGCAACGACGACGACGACGACGACGACGACGACGACGGCGGCGACGGCAACGGCAACGACGACGACGACGAGGACGACGGCGGCTGCCAGAGGACCCCGGCAAAACCAGCCAAAAGAGATCCGAAGCTCAGAATCCACAGAGCTCCCCCCAAGTCTGCCTGGGTGCCCGCTGCCCCGGGGGACCCTGGCAAAACCAGCCAAAAGGACCCGCATCGAGATCAGCGACGGCGACGGCGACGGCGACGGCGACGGCGACGGCGACGGCGGCGACGGCGACGACAACGACGACGACGACGACGACGACGACGACGACGACGACGACGACGACGGCAACGGCAACGACGACGACGACGACGACGGCGACGACGGCAACGGCAACGACGACGACGACGACGACGACGGCGGCTGCCAGAGGACCCCGGCAAAACCAGCCAAAAGAGATCCGAAGCTCAGAATCCACAGAGCTCCCCCCAAGTCTGCCTGGGTGCCCGCTGCCCCGGGGGACCCCGGCAAAACCAGCCAAAAGGACCCGCATCGAGCGACGGCGACGGCGACGGCGACGGCGACGGCGACGGCGACGACGACGACGGCGACGGCGACGACGACGACGACGGCTAAAGCCTCAGCACCAGGCTCAAACCACACCAACCAGACCAGCCAGACCAGCCAGACCAGATGCAAAAATAACTGCAATGCAAAACAAACTGCAATGCAAAAAAACAACTGCAATGCACAAAAAACTGCTTTTCGGTCGTGGTAGTGGTTGTCGCTGCCTCCTCGGACCTCCCCTAAACCACTCTCGCCTGAATCCTAAGCTAAAGCCTCAGCACCAGGCTCAAACCAGACCAACCAGACCAGCCAGACCAGATGCAACACAACTGCCATGCAAAAAAAACTGCAATGCAAAAAAACAACTGCAATGCAAAAAAAACTTCAGCACTGGGCTCAAACCAGACCAGCCAGACCAGCCAGACCAGATGCAAAACAAACTGCAATGCAAAACAAACTGCAATGCAAAAAAAAAAACTGCAATGCAAAAAAACTGCAATGCAAAAAACTTCAGTACTGGGCTCAAACCAGACCAGCCAGACCAGATGCAAAAAAAACTGCAATGCGACGGCGACGGCGACGGCGACGGCGACGGCGACGGCGACGGCGACGGCGACGGCGACGGCGACGACAACGACGACGACGACGACGACGACGACGACGACGACGACGACGACGACGACGACGGCAACGGCAACGACGACGACGACGACGACGGCGACGACGGCAACGGCAACGACGACGACGACGACGACGACGGCGGCTGCCAGAGGACCCCGGCAAAACCAGCCAAAAGAGATCCGAAGCTCAGAATCCACAGAGCTCCCCCCAAGTCTGCCTGGGTGCCCGCTGCCCCGGGGGACCCCGGCAAAACCAGCCAAAAGGACCCGCATCGAGACCAGCGACGGCGACGGCGACGGCGACGGCGACGGCGACGGCGACGACGACGACGCGACGGCGACGACGACGACGACGGCTAAAGCCTCAGCACCAGGCTCAAACCACACCAACCCAATGCAAAAAAAACTGCTTTTCGGTCGTGGTAGTGGTTGTCGCTGCCTCCTCGGACCTCCCCTAAACCACTCTCGCCTGAATCCTAAGCTAAAGCCTCAGCACCAGGCTCAAACCAGACCAACCAGACCAGCCAGACCAGATGCAAAAAAAACTGCCATGCAAAAAAACTGCAATGCAAAAAAACTGCAATGCAAAAAAACTGCAATGCAAAAAAAACTTCAGCACTGGGCTCAAACCAGACCAGCCAGACCAGCCAGACCAGATGCAAAACAAACTGCAATGCAATGCAAAAAAAAACTGCAATGCAAAAAAACTGCAATGCAAAAAACTTCAGCACTGGGCTCAAACCAGACCAGCCAGACCAGCCAGACCAGATGCAAAACAAACTGCAATGCAAAAAAACTGCAATGCAAAAAAAACTGCAGTGCAAAAAAACAACTGCAATGCAAAAACAACTGCTTTTCGGTCGTGGTAGTGGTTGCCGCTGCCTCCCCGGACCTCCCCTAAACCACTCTCGCCTGAATCCTAAGCTAAAGCCTCAGCACCAGGCTCAAACCAGACCAACCAGACCAGCCAGACCAGATGCAAAAAAAACTGCCATGCAAAAAAACTGCAATGCAAAAAAACTGCAATGCAACAAAAAACTGCAATGCAAAAAAAACTTCAGCACTGGGCTCAAACAGACCAGCCAGACCAGCCAGACCAGATGCCAAACTGCAATGCAAAACAAACTGCAATGCAAAAAAAAACTGCAATGCAAAAAAAACTGCAATGCAAAAAACTTCAGCACTGGGCTCAAACCAGACCAGCCAGACCAGCC